CATGATCCTCCAAGTAGGGTTTAGCGCCAATTATAGGGTTTAGAGGGTTTTGCGCACTGCTCCTTCGCCACGGATGGATGCAAACACAAGACACTTCGCAGCTCTGGGTCATGCCGCCAATGGACCGTGGGTGCGTACATTACAGATACTGCGAAGTAGCATCTCTATACTGGGACTTTGTGTTCTCAGGTTTCGTCTACTACTCAAGGATCCTCTGCGCTTCGAAGCCCCAAGCACCGCACCCTGTGAGAAATCCGGGCTTGCCCTAGCTTACCAAACCAATGCGAGGAAAGCGCAGGAAGCAGGTCACCGCCATTGTCACCACGGAATGCAGTCCGCAAGATCAGTACCTGAGGAAAGACAAGAAGGGGTCGCGATTCAGACGTGTATTCCTATTTGGAGTCTAGCTAGAGTCTAAGTCATAGGGGCTGTAAAGAAATTAATCCTGCACCCTGCAACCTACTCCCCAATTCAACCCCTACACTCTCAGTCCCCATTTAAGTACTAAACCACAGCTGAGGATACAAATGGCTTAGGGGATTGGGGGTTTGGGGTTAGGGTTTACAAAGTTTCAGGGTAAAAAAAAATTAGGTTTACAAAAGTTCTGGGTTTAGGTTAGGGTCTAGGGGTTTAGGGTTCAGGGGTATAAACCGGCCAACTTCCACATCAAGATGCCTCCTTACATAATACTGGTTTGAACAGCTCTTGTTGAGATTAGCACACACTGAGAATTCTTCTGTACTATACCTGTCGCTGGTAAGATTGTATGGAGATCTACCAAGCCTAGGCCCTTTTTTTCCTAGAACTCGTAGTAAGTATATATTGTATATATATATATATATATATATATACTTCGGCCCTAAAAGTACCCATGTCGGGACTTCTCTACGGCCAAAGTATGTATACCTTTGCTAGGTTGGCCCTTCGAAGCCCTTGACACGTATTCGTAAACAGAGTCCTCATCATCTTCGGCCCAACGAGGGAAAATATGCAATGCCCCAAAGGCCTACCTAGTTTGGGTTTCTGGACAAGTGGCACGGAGCGATTTCAGCTGTCCGAGCCACAGGCATGTGAGCAGGTTTCCGTCGAAAGGGCCTGTGGGTTCCATAACGGCACTGAATAGTTTTAGGGTTTCTACAAGGGTAACATAATTTTGGGGGTACGCTGGGGGACCTTTCGGTCTCTGATGTACGACGCTTCTACTGCTGGTACCAGCGCGGCTTTCTGTTACGCGTGTTGGCTGTGATGTCGCATTTTCTGCTGATTACCAAGGCACGAGCTTGCCGAGTGTTGTGCAAGCTGCCAGCATTTCATGAGACTGATGTTCTTGACTTCAGTCCAACTACATCTTGTACGCGGTGGAGGAACGCCAGCATTTTCCATGCAACCAAACACTTCATGCGGTTTTTTAACTACGAGATTTGCAGTGAGGGCCTTGTTGCCAGCACGATGGTAGGAAGCTACTTGAAGGATCATGGGACTTAGTAAGTAAGGTTATAAGTCCCTTAATTATATTAATTCGGGTTCTACGTACATATAAGTACAGTTACCTTAGTTAAAACCCTACTTACTAAGTCCCATGATCCCTAAACCCTAAACCCCAAAACCCTAAACCCCAACACCCTAAAGCCCTTAAAACCCTAAAACCCTAAAACCCTAAAGCCCTAAAGCCATAAAGCCCTAAAGCCCTAAAGCCCTAAAACTACCCTAAAACCCCAAACCCCTAAAACCCTAAACCCCTAAAGCCCTAAACCCCTAAAACCCTAAAACCCTAAACCCCAAAAGCCCTAAAACCCTAAAACCCTACAACCCTAAAGCCCCAAAGCTCTAAAACCCTATAAACTAACCCTACTTACTAGGTTCCATGATCCTTTAAGTACAGCAGCAACAACATCAGCTCTGGGCTCGTAACTAGTAGCGCTTCTGGCGTGCAGCTAAGGAATATCCCTTCAAAACTGAACCTTGACCCCCCAGATAGGGCCCTCTAAGGGCTCTGTTTCGGGTTTAGGGTTTAGGGTTCCTATATAGTAGGTACCTGGGGGGTTAGGGTAAAATCAAAAAAGCCGAACAGAAGACAGCCGAGGTTCATGACCAATACTATTGCAGCGTTGCTACACCGGGCTGCGCGAATACTGTAATCTACAAGCATGCGCAGCCCTGGATGGTTTGCAATTGCACAGTAACGACTGGGAGGTGTGGCAGCACAACTACCACTGCCAGTTTCTAGCTAATTCCAGCTATTTGCACTGCTTCTGCATCGCTGCGTGCGGATGCCATTAACATGTAGAGACTCATGGGCAATGGTCCACTTCTTCCATTCATGTTGTCCACGACATTTCTGATAATGCCCAGCACCACGTGCACCACTGTCAGCGAAAACAACAGCATGAAACAAAAACAACACCGCTGTGAAGTCCCAACTGTTTGCGCGTGCGCTAGGCCTGTGATCCCCATGTCTTGAAGATTTGGCCGCGACTGGAATGCCGTAAATCCTTTGCTCATCTTTCCAATGCCATGGCCTCGAAGAAGCCTACACCACTGTCATCAAGCATGTCTGTCTGTTGTTGTGCCTCTGTCTTTCAGCCCTGCCTATCTCAAGCACTACCTTGGGTTTGCATACCAGGCGCCAACTGTCGTAAGCTTTGCCCGAACCCTAAACAAGCCAAAAAACCCTACAACCCCTAACAAGAATCCTTAAACCCCCCAAGAAGGCCTAGGCCCCGGCGCGCCTAAACCCCACAACCCAATGGGAGAACACAGAGCACTGCCTTGAATTTCCAGGATCTCGAGATTCTGAAGTCGACCAAGGGCGATCGGCAGGGCACCTGCATCCGAGCCTTTATGGTTTAGGATTTAGGGTTTCGGGTTTATAAAGGGTTTAGGGTTTGGGGGTTTAGGGTTTAGGGTCTTCAGATGCTTTAGGCTTTGGGGGGGCGGGGCCGAGGCTTAAGTGGTTTACGGTCTTGGGTTTAGTTACACTTGTATTTTCGCGCGAGTGCAGGAACCATGAGTTAAGCCATATGCCTCGACGGAACGTAATAAGACACCCGGAAAGCGAGAAGGAATTATGTGCCATTGAGCTCTCTGAACCTTGTGCTGTCGCCTCTGGGATTTTGATTTATTGCACGTGGCTGGCAATGTTGCGAATTGTGGCCGTGGCGACGTCAGGGTTTAGAAGGCGTTGGGGTTTAATCAGGGACTACATTTCAGGAATCGTCGGGCTTCAGGGTTTTGATGTTTTGGGAGGCACTCGCAACATTCCCTGATGTCACGCAGAAGCAGTATCTGCCTTTGGAACATCTTGCCTGAATCCCCGACACTACCGTAGATCCCGCGTCCTAAAACATGAGCCCACACTTCAAGCCCGCAATCCACCGCCCGAAACGCTGAGCACAGCCAGTCAGAACTACCCGTCAACGATGAGCTGCACGATTTAATTTGGTACTTCGAAGACAGTGAACGTCAGTGATCTCTCAATCACCCCCCATCGGCTTTGAGCCGGAAGACCCCTGCAAAACACCCAACCACTTTGCACATGAAGGCTCAGGCAGAAGTAACCCTAACCCCCCAGGTACCTACTATATAGGGCCCTAGGGGCTCTAGTACCCTATATAGTAGGCACCTGGGGGGTTGGGGTAAGCTATGTATCCTATGAGGGTCGGTGATCACTTCAAGTAAAGTGCCTTAAGCATCACCTGGCTCCTTTCCTTTAATGTAAACGGAGTATCGACGCAACACCAGTTGGGAACCCCCCCCGTGGACCGGAGCACGATTTTGGACAGCCTATCTTTATGGTCGGGGAGCCTACAAGACAATACAGTGAGCTCCCCCCGCCAAATCGTAAACCCTATAAACCTGGCCCTGATTGGAGCTGGAATCATAGAACCGGTCCGCTTGGAACCCTCAACCCCTAAACCTCTACAGTATGTCAACCTCTAAAATCTGTAGAAACCTAAACCCTAAATCCCAAACGCGACACCCTAAACCCAAACCTGTTTGGGGCTGAGAGTTGCCTGTCGTCCGGCGACTTCGGATCCGGAGCTCAGTCAGTGCAGTGAGATCCTGGATGGTGGCAGGATTTAGGGTTTAGACCTGAATGTGTAGGATTTATAGGCTGTAAGGTTTTACGATTTCGGGGTGTGGGGTTTCGGGGTAAGCTTCGTTGAGAAACTGCCATCAAGATCGGACGTCGATGACGTTGCATGGGCAATACAACTGGTTTCAACAACCAGGCGGCGTCTTGCGATCTTGCTATATAAGCATAGGAACTTCTACACTATTCCAGCCTATTTCGTGTATTTGTGCCGCCCACTGCTGATAGATCAACATGCCGATATCCGAAGCATGCTCCCTGGTTTCTAGGCACCCCGCAGGAGTGGCAACTCAACGCGGCTGGTAACGATGATGCATTGCAGCTTCTGTGCGTGCGTGCACTACATGTCCCGCACTTTCGAACATGCGGAGGCCGCTGCTCTGACATTTTGTGTTCATTGCTCAGGAGCTCCCCAACCGAGTCTAACCTGTCGACATGGGCTGTGCCCGTGAGATTTTCTCCTGATACTGCTGGTTTTTGAACAAACTCAGTGATGTCAGTGAGGCGACCGAACAAAAGTATACAATTACAGTGCGAGAATGCTAGGTAATCCACGGCTTGGTGTTTCGGCACCAAAAAAACCACAGATATGAAGATACTGCAAGACAACATATGGCGAAAGTACACATTGCATGAAGTGGGTAAGGTGCAGCTCATGCTGTCACGGTTCGCCGACGTCTTGCGCCACTGACCCCGACCTCGGGAAGGCCATGCCCATACAAACGGTGTATGTCAGGTCAAACTGGGCGTTGAACCGTCGGATCTAACACACACGACATGAGGTTAATAAGGAAGAAGCTATGTGCAACACCTAAGCAAACCGTGTCAGTACCTCCATTCCGTCAATTTTTTCGGTTTGTATACCGAGAAAGTGGTTATAGCTGTATACGTATATGCTTACGTACAACCCTCCATGCATGAATACATGCATACATGCATGCAAACATGCTTGCATGCTTGCATGCCTACCTACCCACCTTTCTACCTACCTGCCTGTCTGCCTAATTCGTTCGCTTATTCCTTTTTTTCCGGCATTCATCCCACAAAACTGGGTATAAATACGTACTAACATGCACAAGTCGACAAACACACAAGCAATTACAGTCATGCATATCGCAAGCACCCACACATGCTTACAAGCATACGACGTCCGCAGCCAATGTCGCGTGGCGGTGAGTCAGAAATCTATACACCAATTCAAGAGGTAAACAGTGGTCGGTAGTTCGAATCCTGCGACGCAACACTGCACCTTGGCCATCTTGTTTTTGATTTGAATGATGTGTGGCCAGGCGGACGACCAAAAACTGAGCAGGAGTCTGCAAAGGAATACGTCAATTGTCTCCGGTCGGATTGCTGAGGATAACTATGTGGGTATAATCGCATGCTGCCGTGAAGCTTCCTGCATCAGTGTCCACGAAAAAGTTGCTGTGTTTTTGTTCACTACACGTCACCCAGCCGATGCAAGCCTTAAGCTTAAACATCAGCACCGTCGCAACCCGAAGTGTTGATTCAATGCGGATCCTAGGCTAGTGTTTATTCATGAAGACAAGCTCGCCGCGGTCAATGACGCATGTGCGAAACCACCAGCTTCCCAAACTTCGACCAGTTCGAATCCGTAATCGTATAATTAGCCGCATGCACGAAGCAAGCGGACATACAACAAAACGATAGTATACTTCTAACGTGTTGGCTCTATTCAGAATGCCGCGAGATGTATGCGGCGTGTAGGACTTCATGATTTTGGACCTTTGATGCGGCTCCCGCTGGATCTCATTACATGCCTGCAACTTGCGGTGTTTTTTTTCTTATTGGAAGCATCGTGCTCGGGCCAACACCGTCCACCTCCAAGTAGGTCTAGTTTGGGAACTATTGCCATGGTGTCTGCCGGATATGCCAAACAGTTTCACCGCACGGTTTGGTGTTTGCGGGCTTTGGGTGTGCTGGTTAAGGCTTGGGGCTTCGCCTGCGCTCGTGCAT